AAGCAGAGAGGAAAAAAGAAAAAAGAATCAAAAGAAATGAGGACAACCTCAGGGACCTCTGGGACAATGTGAAACGCCCCAACATTCGAATCATAGGAGTCCCAGAAGAAGAAGACAAAAAGAAAGGCCATGAGAAAATACTCGAGGAGATAATAACTGAAAACTTCCCTAAAATGGGGAAGGAAATAGCCACCCAAGTCCAAGAAACCTAGAGAGTCCCAAACAGGATAAACCCAAGGAGAAACACCCCAAGACACATATTAATCAAATTAACAAAGATCAAACACAAAAAACAAATATTAAAAGCAGCAAGGGAGAAACAACAAATAACACACAAAGGGATTCCCATAAGGATAACAGCTGATCTATCAATAGAAACCCTTCAGACCAGAAGGGAATGGCAGGACATACTTAAAGCAATGAAAGAGAATAACCTACAACGTAGATTACTATACCCAGCAAGGATATCATTCAGATATGAAGGAGAATTCAAAAGCTTTACAGACAAGCAAAAGCTGAGAGAATTCAGCACCACCAAACCAGCTCTTCAACAAATGCTAAAGGATCTTCTCCAGACAGGAAACACAGAAAGGTGGTATAAACGTGAACCCCAAACAACAAAATAAATGGCAACGGGACCATACCTATCAATAATTACCTTAAATGTAAATGGGTTGAATGCCCCAACCAAAGACAAAGGCTGGCTGAATGGATACAAAAGCAAGACCCCTATATATGCTGTCTACAAGAGACCCACCTCAAAACAAGGGACACATACAGACTAAAAGTGAAGGGCTAGAAAAAAAATATTTCACGCAAACGGAGACCAAAAGAAAGCAGGAGTCGCAATACTCATATCAGATAAAATAGACTTTAAAATAAAGGCTGTGAAAAGAGACAAAGAAGGACACTACATAATGATCAAAGGATCAATCCAAGAAGAAGATATAACAATTAAAAATATATATGCACCCAACATAGGAGCACCGCAATATGTAAGGCAAATGCTAACGAGTGTGAAAGAGGAAATTAATAGTAACAATAATAGTGGGAGACTTTAATACCCCACTCACAACTATGGATAGATCAACTAAACAGAAAATTAACAAGGAAACACAAACTTTAAGTGACACAATGGACCAGCTAGACCTAATTGATATCTATAGGACATTTCACCCCAGAACAATCAATTTCACCTTTTTCTCAAGCGCACACGGAACCTTTTCCAGAATAGATCACATCCTGGGCCATAAATCTAGCCTTGGGAAATTCAAAAAAATTGAAATCATTCCAGTCATCTTTTCTGACCACAGTGCAGTAAGATTAGATCTCAATTACAGGAAAAAAATTATTAAAAATTCAAACATATGGAGGCTAAACAACACGCTTCTGAATAATGAACAAATCATAGAAGAAATCAAAAAAGAAATCAAAATATGCATAGAAACAAATGAAAATGAAAACACAACAACCCAAAACCTAGGGGACACTGTAAAAGCAGTGCTAAGGGGAAGGTTCATAGCATTACAGGCCTACCTCAAGAAACAAAAAGTCAAATAAATAACCTAACTCTATACCTAAAGCAACTAGAGAAGGAAGAAATGAAGAACCCCAGGATTAGTAGAAAGAAAGAAATCTTAAAAATTAGGGCAGAAATAAATGCAAAAGAAACTAAAGAGACCATAGCAAAAATAAACAAAGCTAAAAGCTGGTTTTTTGAAAAAATAAACAAAATTGACAAACCGTTAGCAAGACTCATTAAGAAACAAAGGGAGAAGAACCAAATTAACAAAATTAGAAACGAAAATGGAGAGATCACAACAGACAACACTGAAATACAAAGGATCATAAGAGACTACTACCAGCAGCTCTATGCCAATAAAATGGACAACTTGGAAGAAATGGACAAATTCTTAGAAAAGTATAACTTTCCAAAACTGAACCAGAAAGAAATAGAAGATCTTAACAGACCCATCACCAGCAAGGAAATCTAAACTGTAATCAGAAACCTTCCAGCAAACAAAAGCCCAGGACCAGATGGTTTCACAGCTGAATTCTACCAAAAATTTAGAGAAGAGCTAACACCTATCTTACTCAAACTCTTCCAGAAGATTGCAGAAGAAGGTAAACTTCCAAACTCATTCTATGAGGCCACCATCACCCTAATTCCAAAACCAGACAAAGATGCCACAAAAAAAGAAAAATACAGGCCAATATCATTGATGAACATAGATGCAAAAATCCTTAACAAAATTCTAGCAAACAGAATCCAACAACATATTAAAAAGATCATACATCATGACCAAGTGTGCTTTATCCCAGGAAAGCAAGGATTCTTTAATATCCATAAATCAATCAATGTAATACACACATTAACAAATTGAAAGATAAAAACCATATGATTATCTCAATAGATGCAGAGAAAGCCTTTGACAAAATTCAACATCCATTTATGATTAAAACTGTCCAGCAAGCAGGAATAGAAGGAACATACCTCAACATAATAAAAGCTATATATGACAAACCCACAGCAAGCATTATCCTCAATGGTGAAAAATGGAAAACATTTCCCCTAAAATCAGGAACAAGACAAGGGTGCCCACTCTCACCACTACTATTCAACATAGTTTTGGAAGTGTTGGCCACAGCAATCAGAGCAGAAAAATAAATGGGAATCCAGATTGGAAAATAAGAAGTGAAACTCTCTGTTTGCAGATGACATGATCCTCTACATATAAAACCCTAAAGACTCTACCAGAAAATTACTAGAGCTAATCAATGAATATAGTAAAGTTGCAGGATATAAAATTAACACACAGAAATCTCTTGCATTCTTGTACACTAACAATGAGAAAACAGAAAGAGAAATTAAGGAAACAATACCATTCACCATTGCCACAAAAATGATTAAAATACTTAGGAGTATATCTACCTAAAGAAACAAAAGACCCATACACAGAAAACTATAAAACACTGATGAAAGAAATCAAAGAGGACACAAACAGATGGAGAAACATACCGTGTTCATAGATTGGAAGAATCAATATTGTCAAAATGGCTACACTACCGAAAGCAATCTATAGATTCAATGTAATCCCTATTAAGCTACCAACAATATTTTTCACAGAACTAGAACAAATAATTTCACAATTTGTATGGAAATACAAAAAACCTCGAATAGCTGAAGTAATCTTGAGAAAGAAGAATGGAACTGGAGGAATCAACCTGCCTGACTTCAGGCTCTACTACAAAGCCACAGTCATCAAGACAGTATGGTACTGGCACAAAGACAGAAATATAGATCAATGGAACAGAATAGAAAGCCCAGAGATAAATCCACGAACCTATGGACACCTTATCTTCGACAAAGGAGGCAAGAATATACAATGGAAAAAAGAACCTCTTTAACAAGTGGTGCTGGGAAAACTGGTCAACCACTTGTAAAAGAATGAAACTAGAACACTTTCTAACACCATACACAAAACTCAAAATGGATTAAAGATCTAAATGTAAGACCAGAAACTATAAAACTCCTAGAGGAGAACATAGGCAAAACACTCTCTGACATAAATCACAGCAGGATCCTCTATGACCCACATCCCAGAATTTTAGAAATAAAAACAAAAATAAACAAATGGGACTTAATTAAACTTAAAAGCTTTTGCACAACAAAGGAAACTATAAGCAAGGTGAAAAGACAGCCCTCAGACTGGGAGAAAATAATAGCAAATGAAGCAACAGACAAAGGTTTAATCTCAAAAATATACAAGCAACTCCTGCAGCTCAATTCCAGAAAAATAAATGACCCAATCAAAAAATAGGCCAAAGAACTAAACAGACATTTCTCCAAAGAAGACATACAGATGGCTAACAAACACATGAAAAGATGCTCAACGTCACTCATTATCAGAGAAATGCAAATCAAAACCACAATGAGGTACCATTACACGCCAGTCAGGATGGCTGCTATCCAAAAGTCTACAAGCAATAAATGCTGGAGAGGGTGTGGAGAAAAGGGAACCCTCTTACACTGTTGGTGGGAATGCAAACTAGTACAGCCGCTATGGAGAACAGTGTGGAGATTCCTTAAAAAACTGGAATTAGAACTGCCGTATGACCCAGCAATCCCACTCCTGGGCATATACACCGAGGAAACCAGATCTGAAAGAGACACGTGCACCCCAATGTTCATCACAGCACTGTTTATAATAGCCAGGACATGGAAGCAACCTAGATGCCCATCAGCAGACGAATGGATAAGGAAGCTGTGGTACATATACACCGTGGAATATTACTCAGCCATTAAAAAGAATTCATTTGAATCAGTTCTAATGAGATGGATGAAACTGGAGCCCATTATACAGAGTGAAGTAAGCCAGAAAAATAAAGACCAATACAGTATACTAACGCATATATATGGAATTTAGAAAGATGGTAACGATAACCCTATATGCAAAACAAAAAGAGACACAGATGTACAGAACAGACTTTTGGACTCTGTGGGAAAAGGCGAGGGTGGGATGTTTCGAGAGAACAGCATCGAAACATGTATATTATCAAGAGTGAAGCAGATCACCAGCCCAGGTTGGATGCATGAGACAAGTGCTTGGGGCTGGTGCACTGGGAAGACCCAGAGGGATGGGATGGGGAGGGAGGCAGGAGGGGGGACCGGGATGGGGGACACATGTAAATCCATGGCTGATTCATGTCAATGTATGACAAAAATCACTACAATATTGTAAAGTAATTAGCCTCCAACTAATAAAAATAAATGGAAAAAAATGTATTAAACAAAAAAGAAAGAAAATATCTCCCCCCCTTCCCCCTCCCCCACAGCTACCTTCCAATCTCTTAAAGATAACTAGAAGTTTATCATTTGAATGAGGGCTGATTTATCCATCTTTTCTTTTATGACGGGTAGTTTCTGTGTCCTGTTGAAGGAAGCTTTGCCAACCTGCTGAGAGCGGTTTCTCACTGGGGTTTTTCCTGCAGGACTGGAAATGGCCACAGGAGACGGGGCGGGCCTGAGGCTGCCGCGGGCGGCTGAGCCGGGTGCAGAGGGGGAGCCACGTCCACCCGCCGGCCGGGAGCTGACCGAGGCCAGCCGCTTCACCTACGCCGCCCTCTGCGGCATCTCCTTGTCCGAGCTCTTTCCAGAGCCCGAGCAAAGGTGAGTGCTTCTGTCTCACAGAGGGATGGTCATGCTGTTTCAAGGAGAGGATTTCTGGCAGCCAGGCAGCCTGCCAGGTGCTACCAGACGGTACAAAGAGGAGAAAGCCGTTGTCCTCGCCTTGAAGGAGCTCACAGCGTCGTAGGGGGACGGGCAGTCCCTCACTCGGCGCCCACTCGTTTATACCTTCACAAGGCATTTAAGGAGCACCTGCCTCACCAGGCACCGCTTGAAGCACATGGAAAGTGTACGTGAATAAGATCAGCAGGGCCTCCTCTGCCCCGCACTCACGGAGGACACCCCCTGATAGCGGGACAAGATGTCTGTGCATTCAGTGAGCACCCACTGTGTACTGAGGATTGTGCAAGGCCCTGTGGAGAAAGCAAAGGAAAGCAAGGCCTGGCTCCCGTTCTGGTGCTGACAGTCAGGGGGCTAAAACCAGGCGCCTGGGTTTTCATGTTTTGTTTTGTTTTCATTTTCATTTAGTTATTTATTTATTTATGACTGTGCCCGGTTAGTTATTTATTTATTTATGACTGTGCCCGGTCTTCGTTACTATGCCTGGGTTTCTCTAGTTGCAGGGAGTGGGGCCTATTCCCTAACCGCGGTGTGCGTTGCCCCGGCTTCTCCTGTTGCCGAACACAGGCTCTAGGGCGTGCTGTCTTCCGTGCGGGCTTCACTCCCCAAAGTGAAAGGGAAAGTCACTCAGTCGTGTCCGACTCTTTGCGACCCCAGGGACTTTATAGACCATGGAATTCTCTAGGCCAGCATACTGGAGTGGGTAGCCTTTCCCTTCTCCAGGGGATCTCCCCGACCCAGGGATCAAACCCAGGTCCCCTGCATTGCAGGCAGATTCTTTACCAACTGAGCCACCGGGGAAGCCCTGGCATGTGGAATATTCCAGGACTAGGGATCGAACTGTGTCCCCTGCATTGGAAGGCAGATTCCTAACCACTGGACCACCAGGGAAGTCCCCAGATGACTAGTTTTAAGAGCAGACGGATGGGCTAAGTGCCACGATGGGGGATAGGTTCAGTGAGACTTGGTGTTCAGAGTCGGAATAGCAAAGTGGCTAAGAGTGTGGGCTTGGCCTTCACGGATTTGCAGGGGGGAGAGTTTGGAGGGCTGGTTGTTGGAAAGCTGGTGAAGCTGTTTGGAGAAACCAGGACAGTGATCCGGAGGTGGAGGAACAAAGGTGAGGCGGCCTTTTCTGGGGTTGGGGGCAGCTCGGGTGCTGTGGAGGGGCAGACGGAGGCCCCAAACTGGGGCGGAGAGCCTCGGAGGTCGCAGATAGTGTTGCTGAAACAGGAAGTGGTGGGTTGTGGGGGACAGGAAATGGCAAGAAGTTTTCGCATCTGCATTTTTTCAAGAACCACGCCGCCTCAGTCCCAGCAGGGACCCCTCTGAGTAAACTCCTCTGTGCCTTGAGTCTTAGCTGGGCTTTGTTTTTTTTTTTACCTTTGTCATTCTCACCGGACCAAACTTGCGCGTATTCATCTCCATGGGGGTCACCTCCGGGAAGCCTTTCCGGACCCTCCCCACCTCCCGGATGGGATGCATCTCCGCCTATCTGTCCAGGGACTTGTCACTATGGCCGCTGTCATGTTGCGCTGTAGCTCTGCCCATCCTGGCAACCCCCTGCCTGTCTCTGGAGGGCAGGAACTTCCCGGTTCATCTCCGAGTTCCCAGGGCCTTGCACACAGCTTGGTGGAGCGAAGACAGTAAAGATTTGTGAAAGGAAGGAATGGAGAAATACAGACTCTGTTAGCACAGGAGACAAACCACGGGATTTGGACTTAGATCTGGGTTCAAATCCTACCCCTGCCACTTTCCGATGACATGTGACCCCTGGCAGGTTATTTAGCTTCCATAAGCATCAGTCCAACAACGTAAGAGACGACTCGACACATGGACATCACCAGATGGCCAACACCGAAATCAGATTGATTATATTCTTTGCAGCCAAAGATGGAGAAGCTCTATACAGTCAGCAGAAACAAGACCTGGAGCTGACTGTGGCTCAGATCATGAACTTGTTATTGCCAAATTCAGACTTAAATTGAAGAAAGTGGGGAAAACCACTAGACCATTCAGGTATGACCTAAATCAAATCCCTTATGAATATACAGTGGAAGTGAGAAATAGATTTAAGGGACTAGATCTGATAGACAGAGAGCCTGATGAACTATGGACGGAGGTTCGTGACATTGTATAGGAGACAGGTATCAAGACCATCCCCATGGAAAAGAAATGCAAAAAGGCAAAATGGTTGTCTGAGGAGGCCTTACAAATAGCTGTGAAAAGAAGAGAAGCGAAAAGCAAAGGAGAAAAGGAAAGATATTCCCATCTGAATGCAGAGTTCCAAAGAATAGCCAGGAGAGATAAGAAAGCCTTCCTCAACGATCACTGCAAAGAAATAGAGGAAAACAACAGAATGGGAAAGACTAGAGATCTCTTTAAGAAAATTAGAGATACCAAGAGAATATTTCATGCAAAAATGGGCTCAATAAAGGACAGAAATGGTATGGACCTAACAGAAGCAGAAGTTATTAAGAAGAGGTGGCAAGAATACCCAGAAGAACTGTACAAAAAAGATCTTCATGACCCAGATAATCACAATGGTGTGATCACTCACCTAGAGCCAGACATCCTGGAATGTGAAGTCAAGTGGGCCCTAGAAAGCATCACTACGAACAAAGCCAGTGGATGTGATGGAATTCCAGTTGAGCTATTTCAAATCATGAAAGATGATGCTATGAAAGTGCTGCACCCAAGATGCCAGCAAATTTGGAAAACTCAGCAGTGGCCACAGGACTGGAAAAGGTCCATTTTCATTCTAGTCCCTAAGAAAGGCAATCCCAAAGAATGCTCAAACTACCGTACAATTGCACTCATCTCACATGCTAGTAAAGTGATGCTCAAAATTCTCCAAGCCAAGCTTCAGCAATACATGAACCAAGAACTTCCAGATGTCCAAGCTGGTTTTAGAAAAGGCAGAGGAACCAGAGATCAAATTGCCAATATCCGCTGGATCATCGAAAAAGCAAGAGAGTTCCAGAAAAACATCTATTTCTGCTTTATTGACTATGCCAAAGCCTTCGGCTGTATGGATCACAATAAACTTTGGAAAATTCTGAAGGAGATGGGAATACCAGACCACCTGACCTGCCTCCTGAGAAACCTGTATGCAGGTCAGGAAGCACCAGTTAGAACTGGACATGGAACAACAGACTGGTTCCAAATAGGAAAAGGAGTACGTCAAGGCTGTATATTGTCACCCTGCTTATTTAACTTATATGCAGAGTACATCATGAGAAATGCTGGGCTGGAAGAAGCACAAGCTGGAATCAGGATTGCTGGGAGAAATATAAATAACCTCAGATATGCAGATGACACCACCCTTATGGCAGAAAGTGAAGAGGAACTAAAAAGCCTCTTGATAAAAGTGAAAAATGAAAGTGAAAAAGTTGGCTTAAAGCTTAACATTCAGAAAACTAAGATCATGGCATCTGGTCCCATTACCTCATGGGAAATAGATGGAGAAACAGTGGAAACAGTGTCAGACTTTATTTTTGGGGGCTCCAAAATCACTGCAGATGGTGATTGCAGCCATGAAATTAAAAGACGCTTACTCCTTGGAAGGAAAGTTATGACCAACCTAGACAGCATATTAAAAAGCAAAGACATTACTTTGCCAACAAAGGTCCATCTGGTCAAGGCTATGTTTTTCCAGTGGTCATGCATGGATGTGAGAGTTGGACTGTGAAGAAAGCTGAGTGCTGAAAGACTGATGCTTTTGAACTGTGGTGTTGGAGAAGACTCTTGAGGGTCCCTTGGACTGCAAGGAGATCCAACCAGTCCATCCTGAAGGAGGTCAGTCCTGGGTGTTCATTGGAAGGACTGATGCTGAAGCTGAAACTTCAATATTTTGGCCACCTCATGCAAAGAGTTGACTCGTTGGAAAAGACCCTGATGCTTGGAGGGATTGGGGGCAGGAGGAGAAGGGGATGACAGAGGATGAGATGGCTGGATGGCATCACCAACTCGATGGGCATGAGTTTGAGTAAACCCCGGGAGTTTGTGATGGACAGGGAGGCCTGGCGAGCTGCGGTTCATGGGGTCACAGAGTCGGACACGACTGAGCGACTGAACTGAACTGAACTGAAGCATCAGTGTCTTCATCTGTAAAAGGGGGCTAATAATGCCCACCCTGCAGGGTAGTTACCAGAATCAAATGAGATAATGTAGGTAAAGCATGTAGCACAGTGTTTGGCCCACAGTAGGCAATCAATAAATGTTAATGCTTACTAACTCCATGACTTAACTTTATTTGGTCAGTTTCCTTATCTATAAAATGAACTGGAACTTACCCCTACCAGTCAGGGAGCTTTGGGCTGTAAGTAACAGGACACTGTACTAAAAGAGGTTTAAATAATAAGAGGGAACTCTCACTTGATAAGAAATCAAAAGGAAGAGAGTTCCAGGGTTGATACAGCACCTCAAAAAGCCTTTGGGTTGGCTTCTCTGTAGTTCTCTTGGCCTCCCTCTCCTGATCACAGAACGGCTGCTGCAATGCTGTACATCACACCCTCCAGAATAAGACTCAAGGCAAGAAAGGGGAGGACAAAGATGCTCTGCAAGTCTCTCTCATTAGGGTGGAGCTCTTTCCCAGGATACCCTGCGAAGGCTTTCCCCTTTATGTCATTGGTTAGAGCCAGTCAGATACACTAGCCTTGCCTGCAAGGGAGGCACAGAAAAACTACTTGTCATTCTGTGTCTCCATCATGGGAGGGGGCTTCTGCTGACCCAGAAGAAGGGGCTGGGGAATCACTGCTGCTGAGAAGCAGCCGTCCATCAGAGAGGGTGGTCCTGGGGAAGGGATGTGTGGATGGCCCCTGCAGAGCCTAGCACAGAAAGTAAAGAAAGTGAAGTCGCTCGGTCGTGTCCAACTCTCTGCGACCCCATGGACTGTAGCCTGTGAGGTTCTTCCATCCATTTGATTTTCCAGGCCAGAGTACTGGAGTGGGTTGCCATTTCCTTCTTCAGGAGGTCTTCCCAACCCAGGGATTGAACCCAGGTCTCCCGCGTTGTAAGCAGACACTTTATGTCTGAGCCACAAGGGCAGTCCTGGTTTGTTTCTTTCTTTCTTTCCTTCTTTCTTTCTGGAGGTTAGAATGTATCTCGTTGCGTATTCTGTTCCCGAGCAAGCAAGGGTCCAACTCCTGCAAGGGTCCACCTCTCCTCCTGCTCCAGCCCATACCTGTGCCATACTTAGGAAGCTCCTATCTTCCCAGAAGCCCCCCTGATCTGACAAATCCCTACCTGATGAGCCAGTAGATACGCCGGGGAAGAGCTTTACATACTTTGTTCGCATAAAGAAATACTTACGAACCTGAACTGTGTGCCAGACCTGTGCTGGGCAACACCAGGGAGGGCGCAGGGAGAAGGTATTGTTCTGTGTGCCCACCCCGCCCCAAATCCAAGTCTGGTCTTAAGCACACGTGTCTGTGGCTGAGCCGGAAGCGTTTGCCTTGGGGGCGTTTCCTTCCTGAAAGTTGAGCGTGTGTGCGCGCCAAGTCGCTTCAGTCCTGTCCGACTCTGTGGTCCTGTGTAGCCCGCCAGGCTCCTCCGTCCGAGGGGTTCTCCAGGCGAGGGTACTGCCGTGGGTCACTGTGCTGCAGCACGTGGCATGCACGCCTCTTTCCACGCGGTTGATCTCGGTCGTCTTAAGGCCCAGAACGCACTTGGGGCGGGGGCAGTCTCTGCAGTGGTTCAGCACGGCCTCTGGAGTCCGAGACTTGGGGACTTGAACCCTGCAGCTGTCACTTAACCTCTGTGGGTCTGAGTATCGTCCTTGTTTCTCGAATGGAGGTAAAAATAGTGCTTCCCGCCCTTGTGGGGTTGTATCCGGAAGTCAGCGAGCCCGTGTGTATGGAGCACCAGATACAGGGGCTGGGGGATAGTTGCTCTGCGATCGCCATGAATTATATTATAGCCATTGATTGTTTTGTTATGTTCTGACTGGGGCTTCCCTGGTGGCTCAGATGGTGAAGAGTCTGCCTGCCACGCAGGAGACCGAGTTCAATCGCTGGGTCGGAGAGATCCTCTGGAGAAGGGAATGACTACCCACCCCAGTATTCGTCACCAGCCACATGAGAGGCATTTACCAAGACCCTGCCACTCTACAGGGCTTGCCTGGTGGCTCAGCAGTGCTATTTCCCTATTTAATAGATTGCTACACTGGCACTTTACATATATTCTCATTCATTTGTTTATCCAAAGAAACACCTACATAGGGCTTTACACGTGCCAGTTTTGTTCTAAGCGCATGACACCTATTAACCTAGCTAATCCTTTCAATAACCCTATGAAATAGGTTTCATCCTTCTCGCCAGTGTTTCCAAGGCACAGAGAGGCTAAGTAACTTGCCCAAGATCACACAGCTCACGGCAAAGCTGGATTTGAATCAGAGTTCATGCTCTTTACCCTTCCACTCTTGTGATGAGATGCTTCTCTACATCCCAGACTTTCTCTGTGGACATAGAGCCAGGCCACGCCACTGCCCTCAGCCCCAAACCCTTTCTGCATACATGTTGATGCATAAATAATACTTGATTCACTTAGTCATCCCTGCCCCCCATTCACACCCACACACCACCCCAGGGTAATTCCAGTAACTCCAGCAGGGTAAATCATAATGATTGTAATCGCAGTAGCTGACATTTATTGAGGGTTATCGTGTGCCAGGTGCTTTTATCTTGTGGTTCAATCTTTCCAGCCAGTCTCTGAAGCAGCCCTGTCATCATCCTCACTTTACAACGAGGAAGACGAAGCTGGGAGGAGTGAAGGAGGCCGTGAAGCCGGTCGCCGAGGGAGCCGGGCTCTCCCCGGGGTCGGATTTCAGAGCCCAGCTCAGCCCTCTTCACTGCCTCCCTTGGTCACCTTGTAAATAAAATAGTGATGCTGGGACTTCCCTGGTGGTCCAGTGGCTTTGACTCTGCGCTTCCAATGCAGGGGGATCAGGTTCAGCCCCTGGTCATGGAATCAGATCCCACACGCTGCAACTAAGACCTGGTGCAGCCAAATGAATAAATACATTTTTTTCCTTTAATTTTAAATAAAATAGTGATGCTGCCCAATGTTAATTATCTACTGCATGCCAGGCCTTGCTTGGGGTGCTTTATATGTAGCTTCTCATTTAATCCTCAAGCAGTTTTACGAAGTTGGTCTGTTACACCCCTTTGCATATACGGAAACCGAGGCACAGAGAGGCCAAGTTACTTTCACAGCCTCGCTCAGCAGTGAGGGACGTTTTCCCCGGCTGCTGCAGGGGCTGCCCGCATGGCCTGGGCCTGCCTCAGCTGCAGAGAGCCACCCTGCCCAGGGTTCTGCCTGCTTCCTGGGGCAGCTGTTGTCCGATGACTGTCTGACGTGAGGGTGTGAAGGCCCAGCCCTCTCACCCCACTGGGGGCAGCTCTCAGGGGTCACCCCATCTTCAGATCTCCCCACAGGGTCAGCTGAGACTTCTGTTGAGACTGGATCTCAGCTCCCTCCCGCCCTCCGAGTTCATCCTCCCTGCCCATCCACAGGTGTTGACCCCAGGGAATCCCCAGTAATCATTTCAGAGCTACTTCCTGGGGAGCTGGACCAAAACGGTGGTGTTCCCAGGATTTGCACCTGAGTCCCGCACCCACCCGCATGGCCCACCCTGTAGCGATCTCTCTGCTCGGGCTTCGGCAGCAGTGGCTCTGAGGAATGGGCTGGGTGCGCTGCCTGGGATCCATGGAGACCAGAGCCAAGCAGGGCCAGTGGGGAGCCTCCTCAGGTCACCCCCACGCCCAGGGAACTCAGCTTGTTTCTGGGAAACCTTTTCTTGGAACTTCTCTAATCACCTCCTGTCTGATTCTCCTGCTCCACATCCCAGTGGTAGCTTGGAATCAAAGCCTGATGTGGGCTCTGCCAGGGTCCCCAAGATGCCACGAAAGTGAAAAAGTGTTGGTCACGCAGTCATGTCTGACACTTTGAGACTCGTGGACTGCAGCTCACCGGGCTCCTCTGTCCCTGGGATTCTCAGGCAAGAGCACTGGCGTGGGTAGCCATTCCCTTCTCCAGGGGATCTTCCCTACCCAGGGATCAAACCTGGGTCTCCTGCATTGCAAGCAGATTCTTTACTGTCTGAACCACCAGGGAAGTCCCCCCGAGATGCCATGGGCTTCCTGCATCTCCTGGGGTCCCTTCTGCCCTGGAGTACCCCATCCATCCCCCACTCAGGGATCCCATGGGACTCAGCTGAAGTACTCACTATGGACAGAGACCCCCACGGTGGTGGTGGGCACAGTGGGAGGACAGACTTACTCCGCACTTTGTCCACTTCTGTGGCAGCCGACCCGTTTCCAGAAAGCCTGTCCGTGGCCGTTTCCAACAGCAGGAGGTCTCCATCTGCAGGAAGCCTTTTCCAGTCCCTGCCCCTCACCTCCCAGGTGGGTTCAGGGCCCCCTCTCTGGACTCATCAGGGCTGGATTCCTGCCTCTGTCCTAGCGTGTCCCACGGCGCTAGATCAGTTAGTTCCATCTGGGTCTCTACCCCTCTATGAGCTTCTCATCCAAGACCCGTCTTGCTCATTTTTGATTTCACAGCCCTCAGGGCAGGCTGGGCTCAGGGTGTTTGGTCGGTAACTAACTGCTCATTGCCCTCATTCCTGTGGTTTATCGGCTCCTGTGGTCAAAGTGTTGGAGTAAGCTCAGATCCACTCTCCTGAAATCGGGTTTGGCTCTCCCTATATTCCATGGGCCACAGTTGCCATGGTTTTTTGCAGATGCCACTCTTCACATCCTTTCACGTGTCTCTTCTTGTGAGTTGCATGGTCCAGGATCTCAGCTGGGGTTTGTCTTTCAGGTCCTTCTGCACGGACTTTGTGGCTGGCCTGGTGAAGTGGCTGGACCTGTCTGAAGCCGTCTTGCCTACCATGACTGCTTTTGCCAGTGGTCTGGGGGGCGAAGGAGCAGACATGTTTGCTCAGGTGTTGTTGAAGGACCCCGTCTTGAAGGATGACCCCCTGGTGATCACTCAGGTATACCCACGGCCCAGGTAGCAGCTGCTGGGGAGAGCAGGCATCTTCCTCTCAGAGTCGGCCTGAGTATCACTTCTAGTTGTGCATGGGGAGTTCAGAGATTAAACATTGCATCATAGTATCTGATGATATGATGATCACAGCTAGTGTTGAATTATCATTATTGAATATTTACTGTTGCTTAGACAGTGCTTCTTATATGCTAGTACCTTTACTCACATGAACTCATTTAATTCTCAAAGCCATTTTATTAGGTAGGTAAAGTGATCATCCCTATTTTATAGACGAGGAAATTGAGGCACAGAGAGGTTTAGTAACTTGTTCAAGGTCACACAGCTGATTTGAACCTTGGCCATCTGACTCCAAAGCCCATGCTCCTGACCATTAAGCTGCGGTGCCTCTTTTCGGAAGCATCAGCTCTGCTGTGTGTCCTCGGGCATGTCACTCACCTGCTCTGTGTGCATTTGAAGCAGGCAGACGCTTCACCCAGGCTCTCGCTGCCAACAGAGCAGATTTAAAGCAGCCCTTCCCACCCTCATCTGACTGCCTGAAATTCTCACACACGTATGTGGTTATGTGCTTGCTTGTTTGTCTGGCTTGCCACTCAAATGTGGGGCAAAGGTATTTTGTCTGCCTTGTTTTCCCACCGATTGTTAAGAGTCAGTAAATATATGTCCAATGAGCAGGCTGGTTACATGTCAACCTATTGCTAATTCCTGTTACTTTTCCCTCAGGACCTTCTGAGCTTCTCACTCAAGGATGGTGAGTTGGTGGGTTCTAAGTTCTGTCAATCGTGGGCGCGCGTCTGCACCTCAGCCAGGGAAGCCAGGGCTGGGTGTTGCCCCTATGGCCCCATGCTGTGGCCTTTTCAGTGCACGAAAGGAGAAGGAAGCCAATAGCGCGGGGGGCTGGGGAGCTGTCCTTTCACGCCAAGCGCCGGCGGCGTGATGCTTCTCACGGTTTTACCGATTCCTCACCACACCCTCCGGTCTCACTTTCTCAGTAGCTTTGGAGCCTGGCTCTTGCCCTCCGATATCTATTCTGCTGACATCAGGGAGAAGGAACACAGAATTGAAAATGACATTCCAACAGCCTCCGCACCGTGTAATAAAGGGACGTTCCAGGGACTTTCCTGGTGGTCCAGCGGTTAAGAATTGGCCTTGTAATGGAGGGGACGTGTCTTCAATCCCTGGTCAGAGGACTAAGATCCCACATGCCATGGGGCAGCTAAGCCCACTCGCCATAACTAGAGAGCCTGCACACCTCAACGGAAGACCCCACCTGCCACAACTAAGACCAACTCAGCCAAATAAACACTTTTTAAAAATAGGAGAAGTTTCCCCAAGTCCCCACCAAAACTCTGGCTCGTGGGGGATTGCAGGGATAAGAAGTGGAGGAAGGAGAACAGAATTTCACTAGTAGGTGTAGCACACGCAGGAGCGTGGGCAGGAGAGAGCGCTCAGCGGAGGGCCACGGGGCCTGGAGCCACGCAAGCTCTGCACGCCCACAGGGTCCTGGGCGGTTCCCGTGACGTTTACAGTCTGAAAAGCGCAGCTCTGAAGCTCAAAGCCCTGCCCTCTTCTAGCCACGCGGAAGTTTTAACTCCGTATCTCAACGCTGAATGGGGATCACCCAAGGGTGATCTGGCCCAGCCCCTACTTTCAGCAGGGCACAGCCTGCAGTAACACGTCTTCTTGTAAAAAAAGATTATTTATTTATTTTGGCTGCACTGGGAGACCTGGGTTCAGTCCTTGGGTTGGGAAGATCCCCTAGAGGAGGGTATGGCAACCCACTGCAGTGTTCTTGCCTGGAGAATCCCCAGGAACAGAGGAGCCTGGCGGTCGCAGAGTCAGACATGGCTGAGCGCAGCACAGCATGGCACTGGGTCTTACCTGGGGCTCTCGGGATCTACGCTGCACCGGGGCGTCTTCGTTGCAGCATGCACGATCTGGTTCCGCAACCAGGGATCAAACGCAGGCCCCCTGCATTGGGAGCACAGGTTCTTACCCACTGGACCACCAGGGCAGTCCCTGAAGAAACACTTCTGTTTAGCTGATGAGGCTTGAGGCTGAGCTGTGGTCTGAGGACGTGGTGGAGTTGGTCTGAGAATCCTCAGCGGAATCCCTTTTATTTTTGCAAACTGCACTGAGGGAAGAGTAATAATATTCAATCGTCCTGGACGCTCTTAGCATGAGGGGTGGTTTGCCCAGAGGTCTGGGGCACAGGTTTCTGGAGAGCAGGGTAGCCTGTCAGCACACACACACACACACACACACACACACACACACACACACGCTCACGTGATCGTCATGATAAGGGCAGAGCGCCGGGTCCCGAGCCCTTGCTGTGAGCCCAGGTGGCTGCCGGGGGCCATGCAGACTTGGAGTCCTCCCTGCCCCCTGAGGGGTGCTGGGGGCCTTTGTTCCCATCTTGCGGGTCAGGGTCCTCTTGGATGAGACTCATATTTCCAGCAACTGAGCCCCCAAGAGGGGGAGAGACTTTCCTGGAAGTGCACAGTGCCAGCTGGCCTTCCGATAGGAACCAGGTCTCCGGCCTCCCGGGCCAGCTCTCTGTCCCATGGCCTCATCACGGGGGTAAGCAGCTCCTGTGTGTGCCAGCTCTCCCTTCCGTCTCCCAGAGCCACGTGGATCCTAGCCCGCCACCTGCCCGCACCTGCCAATCACAGCCCTTCTGAGCGCCCGTGAGCACCCAGGACACCTTATCTCACCGCCCTTTGCTGTGGGTGACCTTGGCCGGGCTCTCACAGAATAGTTAGCGTGGGTTTGAAGTGGCCTGTCTGTACTGTCGTCGTCTGGTACTTCATGCCCTTCCAGGGCGTTCTCATAGGCAGCCTCTAAACTGGCATTCAGTTCAGTTCAGTTCAGTCACTCAGTTGTGTCCGACTCTCTGTGACCCCATCGACTGCAGCACACCAGGCCTCCCTGTCCATCACCAGCTCCCAGAGTTTACTCAGACTGATGTCCATTGAGTCGGTGATGCCATCCCACCATCTCATCCTCTGTCATCCCCTTCTCCTCCAGCCCTCAATCTTTCCCAGCATCAGGGTCTTTTCAAATGAGTCAGTTCTTTGCATCAGGTGGCCAAAGTACTGGAGTTTCAGACTGGTATTGCCTTTTAAATTTCTCTTGAGAGTAACCACCACTTGCTAAGCACCTGTTCATGCTGGTGACTGTAACTGGCCCTTGTCAAACATTGTTTCACAACATCTTCATCACCATCCTTTCATGTAGACATTCCCACTTCACGGATGAGCGAACTGAGGCTCAGAGAGGTAAAGTAACTGGCCTAAGCTGTTAAGTGGCAGAGCCGAGATTCTAAAATAAGTGCTGTTAACAAAAACCTTCTCAGATTTTATCCCTGGGAGTTGGAGGCATGCAGAGGCATCCCCACGGGAATATAATAATCCCTCATGTCTATGCCAGCTTCCCAGGTGGCGCAGCGGTAGAGAACCTGCTTGCCAAGGCGGAAGACTCAGGAGATGCAGATTCAATCCCTGAGTCGGGAAGGTCCCCTGGGGGAGGAAATGGCAACCCACTCCAGTATTCTTGCCTGGAAAATTCATGGACAGAGAGGTCCGTGGGGTCACAAAGAGTCAGAGAAGACTCAGCAACTGAGCAAGCATGTCTAAAGCATACCAGTCTCTGACAGCATCTGAGGGGTGCCTTTGGTTTGTCTCAAAGCCCCTCCAGAAGCTGGCATCTACAAATAGGAGCAGGGTCAGTGACACACCAGGACCCCCAGTGGGAGCAGGTGGAGGAGCTCAGAAGTTCCCCAGAAGGCAGAGGTAGGTAGCCCCTCAAACCATCCAGATGGCCCTCATCGGACACAGGTGGGCCTCGGAGAGATGGCAGGTTCAGCTCCAGCCCACCACAATGAAGCAAGTCACATGACTACTTGTGGTTTCTTGGTGCATCTAAAAGTTATATTTACACTATACTGTAGCCTATTAAGTGTATAATAACACCATGTCTAAAATGGAATCACAAAGAGTCGGACATGACTGAGTGACTGAACTGAACTGAAAAAATCCAATGGACAAACTTTAATTTTAAAATGCTGTTGGAAAAAAATGGCACTGATAGACGCTGGATGCAGGGTTGCCATAGACCTTCAATTTGTAAAAAACAAACAGAAAACCAACAAACAAAACGGCACATTGTCGGCAAAGTGCCGTCAGGGTAAAACGGAAGCCTGTGGCTGAGAAAATGATGCCCAGGGTGGTGGTGGCTACTGTTGTCATGTCCAGCTCTGTCCTTATTAATGAAGAACCAAGGACCAAGACGACAGAGGATGAGGTGGCTGGATGGCATCACCGACTCCATGGACATCAGTTTGAGCAAGCTCCAGGAGTTGGTGATGGACAGGGAAGCATGGCGTGCTGCGGTCCATGGCGTTGCAAAGAGCCGGACACGACTGAGCAACTGAACTGAACTGAAGGACCAAGACCTGGGAGCGCTGGGGGGTCTGCCTGCCTGGTGTTAAAATTCATTGGCAAGTTGCTGAGCGTCTCTGCCTCAGTTTCCTTGGGCATCGGATGGGAACCACAGTGCTCTTTCCCTCATGGGGCGGTGGTGAGGATTGAGTGAAATAACCCAGGTCAAGTGCTGAGAACAGGGGGGCACACAGGACGCAGGCCCTGAGTGCCGCAGGGCCGTGGTGGTCGCGGGGAGATGGGAAGCTCCTGGGAACCAGGAAACCCGCACTCTCATCCTGTCTCCAAGACTCTTGTGATGCCAAGTCACCTGACTTCTCTGAACCTCAATTGCAAATACAAAGAGGCGAGAGCTCAGTGCTACTTCAAAGCAAAACAAAACTGTCTGGTCCTAAGAACACAGTCAAGGATCTAATAAGGAGAAGGTCAGTGTCATAGTTGGGCCAGTTGTTCAAGGCCTTTCTCGTATGTTCCATGAGGGTAGGGCGGTTGTCTGGCTTCTTCACCATTGTTTCCCAGCGTCTGCAACGCTGATGGACAGATGGTGGGCATTTAGTGTTTGTAGGCTGGATAGAGGGATAGTAGAATGGATGGATAGAAGGAAGAATGGGTGGTCTTTCCTTAGACCACAAGCTTAGACACTAGCAAGGTGGTTTGTCTGAACTGTAGGGTTAAGCCATCTTTTTCTGCAGAGACTGAGGGGGTAGGACAGATAGCACAGAAGAAAGCTGTCTGTCTGTGTGGCTACATTTCTCTCTGGGTGTGAGGCAGGGTGATTAGTCACGGAATCAGCCCAAGAAACCAACACGAAAAGCTGCACGTCTCAGAACTTCCTGGAAGGTTGACCTTTACTGACGATGTTGGGATCTTAGTCACAGAACGACGCCGTCTTGGCAGCAGTAGGGTGGAATTTCTTTGCACACTAACCATTTTCTTCTCCTCACCCAGTAACAACCCATGAAGCCTCTGGCCCACCTAGCTGGAAGAATAAGCCTTTTATGTGTTGAAGGTTAATCTGAATCTGAGCTCACTAAGCCGGGTTTTCACAGCAGCGGCACTGCAGACATTGGGAACTGGATAATTCTTTGTTGTGGGGCCTCGATGTGTCTTGTGGGAGATTTAGCCACATCCCTGGCTCTTCTCACAGGATGCCAATAGCAGTCCCTGACTTGGGACAACCAGAAATGTTTCCATACTTTACCAGATGCTCTTGGGGTGGGGGTAGGGTGCACAGAATGGTCCCCAGTGGAGAACCATTGGTCCAGGACCCACAGTGTGGCCAGGTGGGGCTGGATTACTCGTAGGTGGT